ATGGCCACCCTTCTCAAAATATAACTATAAACCTTCTCCTCGTCGACAAATAACCGTTTTAGAAAAATATTTTAATATTTAATATTACCTGTGCATAATTTAATTAAATTCCATGTTTCAAAGAGGTGGAAACCCTCTTAAAAATATAGCTATGAAGCATCTTTTCGCCGATACCAACCATTTGATAGCCATCTATATATCTACATATTATGTACTTATTCCTAAAAAGTATTTCTCCGTCTCGATACGAACGATATCTCTTTTAATATTTTATCAAATTTAATGATTGATATTTCATTTTGAAGGGGAAAAGCTCACGTATATTCGAAAATTAGTTACATTGTTTAAATTTAGTTATTTATTAAAAAAAGGGGTTTCAAAAGCTGGAAGCACTGTACCCGATCAATAATGCGCCAATTGTAGGATTCCTCCAAAACGAAAAAAAAAAAATATTTCAAGAAAATTTCAAGTCTTTAAAAAAAAAGTCACCAAAATTAACACTTTTCGTTTAGTCCTTAGAAAAATTTTGGGTACTTAATAGATCATGAAAATTTAGTGTAATAAATAGCAAGTTTCAATTGGCTAAGAGTTCGCATTGATTTTTAATAATTTATGTATTTTATAAGAATATAAACTACGCAACGTGCAGATGTGCTCGAGAAGTTTGCGAAAAAAAATATTATTAAAAATCACTAGGCCGCGTTTCACCAAACTCATTTAAGTGGAATTTAATTTTTTATTTAATTCTAAATTTTTTTCAGTTTCAATAAGCTCTTTATTTAAGCGAGTAAAAGTATGGCAGCACCAGGCTAAATGTGGTAGAAAAAGCAGGGTTGGTATACAAGTAAGAAGCTGATATACAATATTGTGGTGTGTGTATTTATATTGATCAGCTGATAAACGTGTAACATCTCTGAGTGTGGTTTTCTGATTTAATTTTTATTTAAGTGAAAGGCACAGGTCACTTAAATCAAATTTAAAAACAAATTAAAATTGATAGGTGAATGCAAAAATTCGAAAATCAAAATATTTTTCACTTAAATGAAGCTGGTGAAATGCAACCTTAGCCATTTGCAACTTGCTATTTGTTATACTAAAACTCGCCGATCTATAAAACTGCATACCCAAAATTTTTCTTAAAACTGAAAAAGTTTAATTTTGGTGAATTTTTTTTTTTAAGATTTTGTTTTGGTGAAACCCTACAACTTTTTTTAACTGCTTTTTATTATGTAACATTTATTAACTGGAACAGGAGAATCGATTTTCTTTAAAATTACTATTTTTTCTGCACTTTGTACAAAAAAATTTAATAAACACAAGGAAATGAGAGTTACAAAATCGGGCTCAACTGGTGTCTTGCAAATTCTAAAAGCTTTCGTTAAAAAAAAAAAAATTAATCAAATTGGTTGATAAATGAAGGCTGCAGTGAATTATGAACATTAAATTCCAGTTTTGAACCACTGTGTGCTGCGGCGTCGGTTAGGTCGAACCGTTTTAACCCTAGAAGGCACATTGTGTTCCAGGCACATTGGTTGTTTGCTTTTTTTTTGCAGACGCTAGATGCTTTTAGCATTTTTTACGTTTTATTTTTTGCACGTACAATAAGCACAAATGTTCAGCTACTCGCAGCTTTTGATCACCGTTCACCACGCAGTGGCAAAAAATTATAATTCTGCTTCCGGTTCTTGCAGTTAACGACTTCCACACTTCCACACACACCCATTGGGAAGCGAGCTAATTTGAGAAGTCACACCGCCCGCAATGGGTTGTGCGGTGGGCTTTGGACCCAGCCTCGGATGAGAACCTCTTCTTTCCTGATGACCATGGCAGACGAATAAAAGACAACGAGTGAGACCCCGTCGCAGAATACTGTCATTCGCCTTAGTCGACGACCGTTTCGCTACAATTCGATTCAAAGTGATCCAAAATGCTCGAAAACCGCTCAAATGTTTTTGTTTTCTTTAATCAAAACCTCGAGATTTTCTTTCGTTTGGTATATGAGAATTATTGGTTGATATCTTGTAAGTATGTTTATTTGATTCAAATATATGGGCATAAATAAGTTTCCATACAAAATCACTTCATCATCATTTTGCAAACGCGTGCATTTGAAGCGAGAGAAGGAGAGAAAAAGTATGTGTGTGTAGGTATTTCGGCTTTTGAATAACAGATGGCGCAATATTTATAAAAGGCAAAGGTGAAGACGGATATGTAGATGAAGAATATGATAAACATAAAGGTAAAAACAAATATAAATATAAAGAGGAATACCGATAAAAGCAAAGATGAAGATAGAGGAAGACAAGTTAAAATAAAGGTAATTATAGAGAAAAGAATTTAGACAGAGACTCAATCTGGTGACTATTTCGGGATTTTAGAGATTTTCGGAATTTTTGGGACTTATCGATTTAATAATCGATATTTTATCGGTTTTGTTATCGATATTTATTATCGATTTTGTTATCGAAATTTTTATCGATAATGTTATTGATTTTTCTAACGATAGTTTCGGAACTTATCGATATAATAAAGATATTTTTTATCGATTTTGTTATCGATTCTGTAATCGATTGTTTTATAGATTTTGTAGTCTATATTTTTATCGATTTTGTTATCGATATTTTTATCGATTTTGTTATCGATATTTTTATCGATTTTATTATCGATATTTTTGTCGATTTTGTAATCAGTATTATTATTACTTTTGTTATCGATATGTTTTTCATAGTGTGTGCTTTCGTTTTTTACTTGGATGTGCCCTTAACCATACCACGTATTCCACGTTTAAATTTAGCGGCTTTGTCTCCAATACAGCCTGCAGACCCAGACGAAAGCGCTGGACTGTTCCTTTTTTGGTTATGTGTTCTACGGTTAAAATACCGCATCATCGAAGACGCATTTTAGCACCCTAGGGATCCTGTCGGGAATCCGAGGCTTAATCCTCTTTTACTGTATCGGACAGGTCATGAAATATCGTAATTAGTTCGAGAACTTCTTGCTAATGTAGCACTTCTAACAAGTGGCGCAATTATAGTACCTGAATTTTTTCTGAAACGTGTGCCCAAGCAAATGCGTCATTCAGACTACTTATGCAAAGAATGTAAATGCATACATGCATACATATGTACACCACAAGTGCATATAACACCAGAAGTGCATTGTGTGTTTGCATAGCGAGGTTTTGCGAAAAACGGGAGCTTGATGTGCATTACTTGTGTTTATCGTAGACTGACTACATATAAAACGTTCACTTTAAGGTTCAGTGGAGTTCGCTAAGCTATTTAAGTATATGCTATATAGTATGTACATATGCATGTACATATGCACGTAGACATTTTGCATTGATCATTATGCATTCCGATTATTACGAGACCAAGCAATGAGCTTGCATTAAAATTTCAGTTGCACTTAGAATAGGCCAGCAGTTTGATGAAGTAGTGCTAGAAGTGCAGTAGCCATGGACACGGCGGATTTACTAAATACAACAACAACACCACCACAACATGTTGATTTGGCAAAGCAGAGTCTCCTGTCGAGTCCTTTATACATCAGTTTAATAGGCGCGGTATTGGCTATAACATTATACGATATCTGGTATCGTAATACAGATGCATTCAAGAAGCTAAGGACTATACCCGGCCCGCCAATCTTGCCCGTAATTGGGAATGCTCATTTGCTTGTAGGTGTAACCCCTACTGGTGAGTGTTAGCTATTTGAAAAACTCTCGATACATATTTATTAATTGTTTGTTTTTATTTAGAGTTGGTGCAAAAAGCTTTAGTCTACATGAAACAGTATGGGGAAACAATTAGTGGCTGCTTCTTTAACATCAGGCTTGTCTTCTTAACAAATCCAGCTGATGTTGAAATTATTCTGAATAGCTCCGTACACTTGGAGAAATCGGTGGAGTATAAATTCTTCCAGCCTTGGTTTGGTGACGGTCTACTCATTAGCAAAGGCGATCATTGGCGTCATCATCGCAAAATGATTGCTCCCACTTTTCATCAGAGCATTCTAAAGAGTTTCGTACCGACTTTCGTAAAACACTCACAAAATGTTGCTAATCGGCTGGAAGCGAAATTACTGGGTCAAGAGTTCGATGTACATTCGCATATGAGTCAGACGACGGTTGAAATTTTACTTAGCACAGCGATGGGCATGAAAAAATTACCCGAAGGCAAGGAGTGTGTGCGCTATGCAGATGCGGTGGTTGAAATGTGCGACATCATACAAAAGCGTCAGACCAAGCCACATTATCATTTCGATCCTATTTATCGGTGGACGAAATTGCGGCAGAAGTGTGATAATATGATGAATATAATCTTGAATCTAACAAGGAATGTGGTCGCGCAGCGGCGTGCAAATTTCAATTTGGAAACAGATAGCGTGTTGGATCAACAGGATGCGTTGAATGAGAAGGCTGGCAAGAAAGCGGAAGGACTGCGCGACGATTTGGATATAATCGACGAAGAGCGGGATGTGGGTAAGATCGATTAGGGATTATGAGATTTCCTTTAGAAAAGTAATGTAGTATAAAAATGATGAAGAGGAAAGCGGAAAGTGTAACTAATTGCTATCATTTGTTGTTTTGTTTTGTTTCGTACAGGTGCTAAGCGTCGTTTGGCTTTGCTGGATGCTATGGTGGAGATGACAAAAAATCCAAATATTGAATGGACGGAGAAGGATGTGATGGATGAAGTGAACACGATTATGTTTGAGGTATGTACGTTTTTAATAAAACTTTCGATTTTTGATATTCAAATGGTGGGTAATTGAATTGGTTTAAAAAACTGATTCTTTAAAGAAATGTCATGGCTAGTGATAGCAAACAAAATTTAATAATCGATTAATCGAAAGCATTCGATTAATAATTGCACTTAATCGTAAGAAATTAACAGATTAACCGGTCTTTTCGATTAAAATCGAAAATTAATGAAAACTGACTTACACTCCGTGTCAAAATTATAGCGCACGACAAGATTTTTTTTTTGTTATTTAATTTTAGTTATTTTTTTAAATATTCTTTAGCAAGCAATTATAAATATATCAAACTTTGTGCAATATTAAAAAAAAAATCAAGAAAAAATTCCAGCTTTTTAATTAGATTTCTTAGAAAGATTTTCAGTATGCAGTGTTGTAGGAATAAAACGTGTCAATGGCCTAAATCTCTGCACCACCATTGAGAGCCGATATAGGTGGAAAGCCCACAAATCTTTCACACAATCATAATTTGATTGATTTGCCTCAATGGTTATAAATATCTCTATGATGGCTAATCTCGTTTTCTAATTACAGATTAGGGAGTTAAGAACGAAAATGAGGATAATCTACTTATACACCGCCCGAACAAAGTATTGGCACTGCAAATTTTTCATAATATATGCAACAATTTTTATTCTAATATTTTTTTGCCAATTTCGTATAAAAATATGGTTTATTCAACAACAAAAAACACAAAAATATAATTCCTAAGCTTTGTGCGATACTCGCGAAAATTCAGCAAATTTTCATCAAAATTTTCAACTTTTTAATCAGATTTTTGAGAATTTTTTTGAGTATCAGTTTTGCAGCCCATTAAGTTCTAGTGAAAAAATGCAAGTAAGGAGTTAGTCGAAAATCGCGTTGATTTTTGAGAATTTTTTTGTTGAAAGTGTTTTGCATTTTTTCCATATAAAGTATTTTCGAAAAAAATTTCTTATATGGAAGAGACTGCGTGGAAAAAAAATACTAAAAATCAACAATAATTCCTATCTACTTAAATCTTGCACATTATTATAAAAAAATTGATTGGGCTACAAAT